TAATTAGGACAACAATGCTGAGCCCTTTGTGTATTAAGCACAAGTTCAGCTGGTCTCTAACTTCACACAAATTAAAAACAAATTTCGATAAACTGCAACACGTCGCCCCTAAATGTATATATTGTACATACAACCGAACAAAAAAAACGTTCGCTTACTTATGAAGAATCTCCGTATGAATCTTCATCATTTATCAGTGCAAATAAAAGCCCCTTCAATAGGATTCGCGCTCAAATTCAAACCCGCAACTGCTGCTCTCGTTTGTGTCGGGACTGATTGCAGTTGAGTATCGCGTTAGTCATCTCATACCCTCATCTGGTATAATTTAGCATGAATGACCCTCTTAAATTTAAAACAAGAACATCCCGTTATACATAAACACGACACAAAGTAATAGTTCTATATTAACGTGACCAACATTCATTTACGGTTTAAATTAATTGAAATGTCGCGATTCAAAGCGTCTTGTAGTTCGTGCTAATTAGGACAGCAATGCTGAGCCCTTTGTGTATTAAGCACAAGTTCACCTGGTCTCAGATTTGACTCCGCACGGTTTTTCGTAGCATTGAGCTCAGAGCTGTAGCTCTTCTCCAGACAGCAGCGTGCTCTCCGAGAGCTCGTTAGAACTGACCCACAGCGGTCAGTGTGAAGTTTGCGCTAAACACTGTACATCACCCACACGCGGTACCTCTGCTTCCGAGCCCAGTCAGCTCTGCTGTGTTCACGACAGGACCTCCACTCTCTCACTCCCCTGTGATCTGATCCGACAAATGACGTTTCCCTCCGCTCTGGACCACAGACCTCTCTCACACCACCTGGGTGAGATCGCACCCCGGCCAATCAGGAGACTTCATCAATTAAGCAATTAAGAGTCCAGAAACTTTATTGAAAACGCAAGTTCAGTTGCCAAAGAATGCACCTGAAAATAGTCATAATTTTGATTGAAAAGGCAATCGGGGGTCCCCTCTCCTCTCAGGACACCAGTCCATCACAGGACACACACACTCACACACTGGACAGGACACCAGTCCATCACAGGACACACACACACCCTGGACAGGACACCAGTCTTTCACAGGACACCAGTCCATCACAGGACACACACACACCCTGGACAGGACACCAGTCCATCACAGGACACACACACACACACAATGTGATCAGT